CTCTTACCTTAAGCAGTTAAAGCGTTCAAGAAACATACCATTTTTATCAGTGGCCAATCTACTAATTGGCTTAGAGCGTCAGCTGACCGTTATAACCCAAGAAGCAGCGCCTCTGCCCAGTGGCACTCAGCGCTTCCTGAAAATGATATTCAGAGGCTGGATGCCACTAGACCTGCAGATTGGCGTGGGAGGCTCACTTTGGGGTTAAACTGAGAACAGTTTAGCCCCTTAAGGTAAGAGTGCGTCTGGGGGCCTGATGGCAACATAACAACTTTAGATGAAGATTTTATGGTGACCGGAGTGTCCTTTTTAGGGCTACTATCAAAATAGTAACTTGTTAATCCATTTGAAAAGGTGTATTCATTCCTTTGTGATTACCCATGAAATAAAGCACGATTGGCATTTGATTTTGCTTGGAAAAACAAAAAAGCACCGACCCAATCGTTTTTGGGTAGACATTATAATGAAGGCACACAGGGAAGCAGCCATTTAAAGACACAGGTACATAAGAACTCATGAGATAAAATATCTAGGCTATCAAAAGGCAGTAACAGTTTTCATAATATCAAACTCGAGAATAATGAGCAGTTGAATTTTGACAACAAAGAGTATTAAAGAAATTGGAGAGACTCACCCTCACGGAAACTAGAATGTGGTGGGAAGTCTGTAGCCCCCAGACTATTTTGAATGTAACAGAAACACTAGGGGATTGAGACTTTATAAAGTTCCAACTTACACTGACCATGAGGAGGATTTAATGACATGGTCATTATTCATTTTACACAATGGGGACTATGGTGCACTAGAACCTAACGGTATCAAAAAATTACAAATGTCAAGAGATACATTTTTTAAGAAGTTTGAATCTAACGGATCAGCTACATATGAAAAATTAGAAAATGCTAAAGCAGAACGCAAATGACAAGTTTTTAGAGACAAAATGGACTATGAAAAAAAAAAAAACAGATTTGGAAGAAGAAGAAACACTCTAAATATCAATGATCGTATAGAAATACATCTTGTAAAAATATCCACTAAATCCATAGAGGAAAATGTAATTTTAAAGTTATGATATAATAACTCTGGTTCACCCACATGTATTTCAGGTTGTACAAGGAGACATGTAATTCAGATAACCCTTACCTCTAGAATGTAAGCTAGTTTGAACAGGGCCTTCATCCCTACCTGTTCCAGTGTGGTTACAAATACTTGTCTGTTAGGCCACCCATTGTACAGTGCTCAGAAATTTGCTGGGGCTTTATAAATATTATTAATAATAATAATATTAATAATAATATGAAGGGACAGATTATTATTATTGGAGGCGTGTGGGCGGACAGGAAGATGAACCTCGCCACCGCATTAAAGTATAGACTGTAAGGAGGAAAGTTGGGAAGCTGTTCTACACAACTCCAGTCTTTTCAACTCTTTACATCAGCTAGTCCACACTATCAATATAAAATTAATGAATCACTGATTGTCAAAACTCTGCTCAAGTAAAGGTTGCTTTAAAGCATTTGACATTTTTTGCATCTCAAGAACTGGATTTAATACATTTATGGCTAAATCACTGAGGCAACAGCATGTTTAATGTTTATACTGGTCACTAGATGGCGATGCTACTCTGTACTACGGTATTTATGACTCATATTTTTTAGCAGATAGCGCGTTAAAATTCCAATTTCCTGAAAACCTACAGTTGTTCTCTCAGTGGCAAAAGTTTATTATTAGAGAATATAAAGATAACTCAATTACAATGGGGATTTTGTCCTGCGAATATGTCTGGCGGTATTGCTATATATTGCATCTTCTATCAGATTAAGCCTGATTTTGACCAAATCACCATATTTATACAAAAAATACATACTTGCAGTACCAAGACTGCGACAGACCAGAGTGTTATGCATCTAGTACTACCCTTGCCGCTTGTGAAAACCTAGGAAAGAAATTTTTTCAGAGACCCCCATACATACCCGTGTATATATACACATATGCATGAGTAGCCACTTGCACTTAAACTACCACACACCATTCTAAATAGTAACATAATCACACACACACATGAAGATATACTTCCCAATATTTCAAAAGAACAAAGAGGGACACTTTAATTTTAGGGGTGTGACTGAGGGTGTGGCCAGGGCCCAGTTTGTGTAAGAGCCAAGTTCAAACAGCTCTTAAAACTCTTACACCAATATCCAAAGTTTGTTGTGAATACAGCTGGTAACTGAGAGTAACACAATAACACTTCACAGGAATAATAAAGAGCAGTGCAATCAAAATACATTCCTAGCAAAAGCATCAATCACTGCACTAAAGGTTTAAAATAACATGTTGTTTGTTGACGTAACCATAACACCACTGGAGTCCTCCTCACTGGCCTCTGATGTTAAAACTGATGCTAGAATACATTTTAAAGAGCAGTTAGACAATCACATTCAATAGGATATATATGTGAAAATGCATCGATTTTGTGTATAGGAGTGGAGATTGAAAAAGCACTTAAAACAGAAACTGGTGAGGTCCTGATAGAGACTACCAGGGAGGTTGCTAACACGGACAACATACATTAAAAATATGCAGGGACGTACCTAGAGCATTTGGCACCCTGGGCAGGTCCTAGTTTTGGCACCCCAACTTTAAAATGTATAAAACAACCACAATTTTTTAAATGTATTTAGCACTAAGCTGTCTTTATGTTTTTGAATGTAAGCATGTTTTTTCATTGAGTATGTGTAAGTGAATATAGGGGGGGGTGTTTGTATGTGGTTTTGGCATTTGAATGATTTTGAGATGTATGCACATATACACACAGACACACATGCAGACACAGTGGCGACTATAGGAACAGTATATTGTGGGTGAGGGGGCACATTAGATACCACAGTCAAACCTGAGGGGGCACTAAAACTTTTCACTAGGGGATGTGGTAATGGGCTGCTATTGGCTGCCTGATGCCAGCATGCAGTGCACGTGGCATCAGTCAACAAATTTGCATAGAATTTACATTAGCCACCCAGGTTTCTTGTTGTGGGCTGGCTGACACCTCTTAACTTTGATCTGTGTTTATCAGATAACTCCCCTATTTGCTATCCTTATGTGGGATTGCCATATTTGAGGACACCAAATAAGGGAGCTATCTGCTAAACAGCACACTAATTTGGTATCTTTAAATATGGAAATCTCACATAAGTGCACCAATTTAGGGAATTATTTACTAAACAGCTAAAAGATCAAAATTTAAAAAGCCCTTTTCTTAATTTCAGTTGTTTAGTAGATAATTCCCTTATTTGTTATCCTTATGTGGGATTGCAATATTTAAGGACACTAAATAAGGGAGCTATCTACCAAACACAGATTTATATACACAAACACACACACACACACAATAAGTGTATGTCTGTGTGCGAATATCTGTGGTTGTGTGAGTATCACACAATCACATACACACATAATTAGATGTACACACACAAACATCACATACATACACACATTTAATAATTAAAAGGTCCACCCAGTCTCCCTACCTTGCTCTGGGAGTGGATCTTCAGTCCCTGTTGGTCAGTGGTTGCTGCTGGGATCTCTGTGCTCTTCCTCCACAGATCCCTTGCGCAGACTGTAATGACGCCGATGCCGGGATGACGTTATATGCAAGCTCACTGCAGGTTGAATACAGTCAGATGCACACAGTTATACACATATACTGTCAAATACCGCCACATGCACACATTCCCAGAAACATAGTCACTCGCACACAGTCAAACACACAGTTACAGGCAGACACACAAACGGTTACAGGCAGACAGTCACATCCACACAGCTACAGGCAGTCACACACACACAAACACACAAACACACACAGTTACAGTCAGTCACATGCGCAATTACACGCAGACTCTAACACAGTTGCAGGCAGATTTAACACAGTCCCAGGTAGATAGTCAAAGGCAGACAGCCACACACAGTCACAGACGCAATCACAGGCAGACAGTCACAGACGCAGTCACAGGTAGACACACATACAGTCACAGGCAGACAGACATAATCCCAGTTACACACACATCTGCTCTCAGTTACTGACGGTATGGGCTGGAAGAGTGGATTCACTGAAGTTGCATTTTTAAAATGTATTTATTTATCTCATGAGGTCCCCAAGCCTCTCTCTTCTTGCAGTGGATGAGATGGAGTGAAGGCAACCTTCATACTCCAGATATTGTGGACTACTTCTCCCTTGATGCTTTATCATCTTTATGGCTGAAACATTTGGAGTGCAAAAGGTTGCCTACCCCTGGTCTAGTGGGATGCTGGATCACCCTGTGCTCTCATTTTATAGACAATCAAGGCAACTGCCTCTCTCACAAGTTTTGTACTGATGTTGGAGTGATGCCACATCCCATCAGCCTCACACAAGTATAAATTAAAGGGGTTCTACCTATATGGAGTTACCCACTCTATTTCTTTAATTTAGCAAACTATATATAAATATAAAATATAAAGAATATATGCAAAAGTGTAATACTGTAGCAAATGTTTAGAATCCCAACTCCCTAATTAGATATACTTACAAGATTGGAGTGGTACAACACCACTCACACATATGGGCACTAAGAGGATCAGACTCTGGTTTGCGGTGCATCTAGTAAATGCCTC